ATGGGTAAGGGCGATAGGCCTTGTGTATTGTTATGGCCTATATCATTATGAGTTAGAGCAAACTATGAGTAACGACCATGACCATATGACCCAAAACAGACCATGATTTTGGCCTCTTCCATAACTAATGGAGTATTTTACAAAATAATGAGTAGCAAGTGGCACGATTTCAAGAGCTGGTTCATCCTTGGCAAGCTTGGACTCCTCATTAAGTAGTAGGATATAAAAGACATAAAAAAAAAAAAAAAGATAAACTAAATCCCCGCTTCAATGCTACAAATAAAGGAGCAATAAATCAATCCAAAACCACCTAAAACGTCCAAAATGAAGTCATCCTTAGCAACTCGGATGATTTTGAGTAAAGCGTTGATCAAATATTTTCTTGGCTTAAGTCATGTAGACAATGATTAAGTTGTTTTTGTAATCAATATTATACAAAGAGAGTTTGGGTCGCCTAATTTGAGTGGTAGGATCGAAGGAATAGGTTTTGGTAAGTTTCTACCAAACATTACGAGTCCGTTTGGCTCTTACAATTTGAGAGAGTGTAGGCTTTATAAGGGAACAAGCAATCTAACTTAAGATATGTTGATCTTTTTGGAACTAATGAGAATATTCCGGGTTTGGAACTTTGTTAGCAAGGAAATGTGTGTGTGGATTAACAAAGTCATCTATATGATAAACTAGGATATATCCATATAAAAAGGGATATAGTTGGGTGTGCCATAGGAGGTGATTGGAGGAAGAAATTTTAACGTAAAGTCGACTCGAATTTAGAAGATTTGGAACTAGAGTTAGGGCCGGGGGATGAATAAGGAAGAGATAGGTTAGATATTCGATGTGATGAGGGAATGAGGAATGTGAAGGAAAAAAAAAAAGATGGTGACTCGGTTAAGTCCTTTTAGAGCTACGATACCATGAAAGAGTCACCGTATTGATTATATTGTAGTATGTATGTACAAGAGACTTTATAGAAATGTTCTACCAATGTTTATTGTAACAATAATTTGAAAGAGTATAGTTAAACTCCATCCTATCTAATCTGTGTTTGAATTCAAATTCAAAGTAATAGCATCCTTATCCAAGCACACTCAACGGGTTTTTCATCTCTCTTCTTTTTCCTTTTTTCTTTTTCATTTATAAACTTGTCCCTCATAGTTTTTTTTCTTTCTCTTTTAAATAAAAGGTTGATAATTATATCTTACAAGTAAAAAAAAAAAATTCAAACTTTTTGGATATAATAAAGATATGAGATATTCTATCAAATGAGTTTGATAGTGCATTTTGTTCCCTATTTATTTATGGTGCTTAAGACTTTCTCATACATGAACTACAATGACAATTGAATTTTGAAAAGCCCTTGATATAAAAGACTAGAGAGTATGATTCGACATCCACAAATGAACAAGCATTAATCTAAATGATGTTTTACCATTATTATTGTTTTTCTTTTTTTTTTCAATTATTAAATTATAAATTTTTAGCCATTTGAGTTTTGAAATTAATGTTGTACTTTGCAATGTTTATTTTTGAAGAAATTACTATACTTCTTGATAAAAAAAAAAAAAAAAGCCGAATATAATAGTAAGTAATAAAAATGTTTATTTAGAAACTTCTATACAGATTAAATTTTATTTTAAAATTCATAATTTAAAAAAAAATTATATAAAGTACTAACTATTTTTTATAGAATTAAGATGACTAAGTTATACGTTGGCTAAGTTTCTAAGTTTTAAAAAAGAAAATTATGAACAACCACCTTCCCCTCTCTCCTCTTCTCTCAACTTGTAACTCTCTCTTCCACCATGCCTAGCTACTTGCTTCTTCTATTATCGTATTCTTACTCACCTTTATCTAAACTTCTCAAACCTCACTCTTCTCTATTTATTTTTTTTCTTGTCTTAATTTTGTCCATAATCCCTTGCTTGTTGTCAAACAAAATTTTGATATATTTCTAAAGTCACCGTAGACTTAATCCTATTCTTTATCGAACAAAATTTTCAAATGATTTTCAAAACCATTAACTATTTGTTCTTGCTTCTTTTAAGTAGAGTTCTAATACCTTTGTAAAGTTGTTGTAGACCTAATCAAGTTCATTGTTGAACAAAGTATTCAACTTATTTTCAAAGGTGTTATTGGTTTGTTCATGTTTGTAGTCAAGTAGGATTTTAAAATGTTTTAAGGTTGTTGTCGACTTAATCTTATTCATCATCAACAAAGTTTGAAATTATTTTCTTAATTCATTGTCAAATTATTCATGCTTGTTGTCAAACAGATTTTTGAATCATTTTAAAGTTGTTGTTGATTTAATTTTGTTCATTATTGAATATAATTTTTAAATGATTTTCTCATTTTGATGTCAAATTATTCCTACTTGTTATAAAGTAGAGATTCCTAAAATGTTTTTTTAAGTCATTAACTAACAAAATTTCAAAATATTTTCTCAAACTATTGTCAATTTGTTATTACCTGTTTGTAAAGTAAAGTTTTAATTTTTTTTTCAAGTCATTATCAATCTAATTATGTTCATTTTCAGACAAAGTTTTCAAATGATTTTCTCAATTTGTTTTCGAATTGTTCATCCTTGTTGTCAAGTAGAGATTTCTAAATTTTTTTTTTTTTTTATGTCATTGTCATCTTAATCTTATTCGTTGTCAAAAAGAGTTTTTGAATGACTTTTTAAAATGGTTGTCAATTTCTAGATGTCAAGTAGAGTTTTAATTTATTTTCAAGGTCATTGTCTACATAGTTTTCAAATGGTATTTTAATTAGTTGTTGAATTGTTCTTGCTTGTTATCAAGTAGAGATTTCTTTAATGTCTTTTTAAAGTTGTTGTCAACTTTATTTTGTTCGTTATCGAATAGAGTTTTCAAATAATTTTTTCAATTTGTTATCAAATAGGGTTCTTAAATGATTTTTAAAGTCGATGTCGATTTGTTCTTATTTTTTGTCAAGCAAGGTTTAAAAATGTTTTAAAGTCTTTGTTAGCTTAATTATGTTCATTGTTAAACAAAGATTTCAAATAATTTTTTACAATCATTTCAAATTTTTTTCTTAGTTGTTGTAAAGCATATTTTTGTAACATTTTAAAGTCATTACCAACCAAATCTTCTTCATTATTGAAAAGAGTTTTCAAATAATTTTTTCAATTTATTATTGAATTGTCCCTACTTATTGTCAAAAGAGGTTTCTAAATGTTTTTTTTAAGTCGTTGTCGAATAGAGTTTTCCAATGATTTTGTTCAAACCATTATTAGTTTTTTACCGACTATTATCAAGCAAAGTTTTAATTTGTTTTCAAATTTTTTTTTATTTAATCAAGTCGTCGTTGAATAGAGTTTTTAAATGATTTTCTCAAAACATTGTTAGTACAATTTGCTACTACTTATACATGTGAGCAAAATTTGGTTTTAATAAAAAAATTGAACCAAACCGAACCAAAATATCAATTTTGATTTGGTTTTTAAAGCTAGATTAAATAATTTTGATTTTTTTTTTAATTTTACATTCAATTTAAATTGAAAACCAAATTATTAATATTATTATTGTTATTATACAATTCAGCATGATTAAAGTTCAGAAATTAATATTTAGGATAGCATGTAGTCTACCTCAAATAGAATATTGAACAATGATTGTTATCTTCCTTTAAATAATCAACCCCTTATTTTTAATCTCTATTAGCCATTTAGGCTTTTTTTTAGTTATCATAATACTAGATGGTGACTCATTGTTTCTATCTTTTTCCTATCTAAACTCGCCATCCAAATGTCTCCTGTTACAATAGTAACAAAAATTATATGTAATTTTTACTTTTCCCAAATGTTTACGAAATTATCTCAATATCATCTAAAAAGTATTGAATACTTAAAGTAGAAAAGTATCCAAACTAAAAATTAAAAATCCACTAATAAGAGAGACATTTTCTAGAAAAACAAATATGATTAAAAAAAGAAGCTTTGTTTCATCAACACCTTCTATAAACTCTCTTTTGACAATCTAAAGATAAGATTATGCTAAAATATATATATATATTATCAACATCATTAACTACCATTGTCATCGTCACTACCACTCGCTTGTCTTACATGCTCTCATCAAAACTATCATATCTTATGCGTAGTATTCAAATTTTCATCAAGATCTCGCTATCAAATATTGAACAAAAACTTTAGAAAAAGAAAGCAAAATAATTTTGAAATTTCATTTAGTTGGAATAACAATTCGAGAGCAAGGTAAGTTTAACATTAACTTGGAATGTGAGCTTTTATAAAGTTTGAACTTCATTGATCATGTTGAAGTTGCTTAGTGCTTTTTAACGACATTATAAGAAAAGAAAAGACAGGCGGTGTTGAGATGAATGAAAAATAGAATTAGAGTGGTTATGATGAAAAAATTGAGGAAAAGACTTTTATTCATTTAAATCTAGATTCTCATTCAACATGTAGTATTAACACACACACACACACACAAAAAAAAAAAAAAAAAAAGATGATCATGTTGATTACTGAAAATTAAAGTGGGTCGGGTATAAGGATTTTTTTAAGAAACTAATCGCCTCTAGTTGTATCATATTTATTTTACTAAAAATTTTGGTTTTTTTAAAATGATTTTTTTTTTCAATTCTTTTATTCTTTTAGTTTTTAATAGTTTTAGGTAATATTGAAATATTTCATAAATTTTAGGGGTAAAAATGAAATTTAGTCATGCTTTTAGTTATGAAAGGAACGGGAAATTAAAACTACAATTATAGGTCGGGGGCATTGGTTGTTACAAAACAAACTTCTGAAGTGAAATTGGGACATCTACGAACCTCATGGACCAAATTAAAATATACCACAGAAATAATGGTACTACCTCAAGTAATAACAACATGACATTACCTTACGAGGACTCTTCGTCCTCGGCCACATGTCTACAACTATCGGCTGCACGATGGAGTCTTTTCACTCTTTCGTGTTGCGACAAGTTCGAAGACAGATTGACGATCGTTGACACAATTAATTACAGCTTTGATTTTGATGCCTCTGCTGATTGAGACCGAAACGACCAGAAGAGAAATGGATATCCTGTATCTCCATCACACACCACATCATCATCATCTTCTCCACGTCTGATTTTTTCTCTAAACTCTAATGGGCCCACATGCTGACATAGGAATATCATGATCATCAAGTATGTTAATACTTGATAAAAATAATAATAATACGCAGAGTAATTATCTTTGGCACAAATATTAAGATAGATAATTCAATTTATTTTTATATAATAGCTTAAGCTTTCAATCTGTTTTTACGTTTTTCTATCATATTTATTATGCTTTTAAATAATATTTAAATCTTCAATTTATTATTTGGATTAATTTTTTCAATCATAATTTTTGTTTTTTACTTGAAATACTTCTAGCTAAAATGCAAAAAATAAAAATACAAATTTAAAAGATTTAAAATATAAAACATCGAGGTCATGTTTTTTTTTTTTTTCATTCGGGAGTATTTTGATAAAAAAAAATTATTTATAATTGAAAAAATTGATCAAAAAGATAGATTAGAGATTTAAACATTATTTAAAGACATAATAAATATAATTAAAAACATAAAAACATATTCATGACTCAAACTATTATATGAACATGAATTGAGTTATTTACCCGGATACTAAATATAAAATTATTAAAATTGTAAATTGTTGTGAATTAAACACTCTGTTTATTACTTTCGTTTATTTCAAAAAAAAAAAATTAATAGACATTAATAATTGAGGGGTTGTTTAGTATCATTTTGTTTTGTATTTTTGCATTTTTTTTAATTTTTTGTTAGAAAATAATATAAAATTATTCCTAAAGCATCACTCATAAGGTTAAATTTTTGGATTAAAATAGTTTTTTGATAGAGAAAAAGGTGTTTTTTGGTACCCAATCTTTTAATTTTTTTCTATTTGGGTACTTAATCATTGATTTTCCATGATTGACAATCCAAACTTTGATTTTTTTTTTTAACTTACTTGAGTTCATTTGAGACCCGATTTTACCGATGTATCCGACGAAAGTCTGTCACTTGGTAGTTAAAAAATGCTAGGCGGCAATCAACCCTACTATGATTCACGTTTATTTCTTGATTGTAGAACTTGACTTGAATTCCAAAACATGTGAAAATGCCTTTAAAAAAATTCAAAACTTGTTGCCAAATTTATTATTATTATTATTATTATTATTATTTGAAAAAAAAATCATATTGTTTTCAAAAAATTCAAAACAAAAGCACAAAACAACACCGAACAATTTCTAAATTTTATATCTTGAAGCAATCTAGAATTTTAATTTCAATTCGATGAATATGCATAAAATTCCCGGAAATTAATTCTAAGAGGATGCTTCTGCAGAAGACACAAACAGCCTTCCAATTAGTATTAGTTGACTAACTTACCTGATTCCATTTTCAGAGATTTAAAATTGAAGTAGTCACGTTTAAAATGAGAAGAATAAAATGAAAAGTGAGGTTATTTGTCTTCTAAACTAGCTTCTCGACAAAGAAATATATAGGGGAAGACTTTTGCCCTCTAGTTCTGAGAATTTGATGAAATCCCGAAATCATTTTTCCGCTTAGCCAACAAATTTTAAAAGAAGCAAGGTAAATTTAAGTGACAACGGCATCTTTCTTTGGCAATTGCAAGGAAATTTTGTGCTCTTAAAGTGTGAATTAGACTTCTCAACTCATTGCACGAGAAATCAGTTGATAATAATTAACAAAATGAAATTGAGAAGAAATTAATAATTGCAATTAAGATGCTTGAAACTGCAAGTTGGAGTTGCTATTCTCGTGTAATAAATCAGTTGAGAATTACTAACACTAAATTGGTTGGTAATGCCATGTCCTTGTCGAACTTTTAGTACCTTCTTACTCCATTGATGTAAAAGTAACAGGAACGTCGATTAGCAAATTGATAATGATGTATATGTACAATGCATTTTTTGTTTAATATACAAGAACTAAATGGACTAACAATTGCCACCCTATGCAAAAATTTGACAACAAAATGATGTCTTTACCTATCCTCAACGCTATGTTTAGGAGAAAATGATAATTAGAGAAGATATATTTGATAGAGGGAGGATGGAGAAGGTGACATAAAAACACCGACCTTTTTCTCGTACTGTTTACTTAAGCCAATTACCTTAGCTGCTTTAAACCCTAAACGGCCCATAGAAGGTAACTAGTTTCAATAGAAAAATGAATCCTAATAAATCCATCGTCTTTTTAATATTATTTTATTCAAACTAAACAACAAGCGGTGAATTTTGAATGATCCTTCGATTCTCATTACAAGCGATTATCCAATAGTGGATTGTCACTTTATTTTCATGATTGCTTTGATATATAGATAACGAGTCTCATCTTTCTTTAAACATCTTATCCTATTCATCTTATTCATCTTAAATACCGATGCCTTCATTGAAAATCAATGAGTTTTAAAAACTCATTTGGAAAATAATAATGACTTGTTAATTTATGGTTGAAGATGGACGATAGAGATTGATTGCATTCTCTTCTCTCTTCTATCTTAGGTATCTATTAAGCAAGTCCTTCTAGTAGATTAAGGGATCTTTTAACAATCTAATTAGTGATAAAAAAAAAAAAAGAAAAAAAGTGGCTCGATTAGGCTTTTGAAATGTGTTCTTGCATATGTTTACAAAAACATGAATAATGATGCTTTCTTAATATAAAGAAAACTATCTAGAGTTGAGAACCCGAAAACCTTAGTGGTCAAGGTCCTCATATAAACGAGATCTTAGTAGGTTGCATGATTAAAAAGGATCAAATGATCTATTTTTGTGATGTAAACATTCTTGGATGTCAAGTAGAGTGATTTGTTTGTTTGTTTTTTTTTCTTTTTTTGACATGACTTATAGGAGGTCTAGTGGTGGCAATAATGATGAGAAAGTTGTTGATATGACAAGAAGAATGATTGAAATATGTTTTTATTTAATGAGGGTTCTTCGAATCTTCTTGGTAATTGTGCTCGTCCATCTCCCGAGTTATAGGTCATGGGATGAATTTCCATGGTACATTTTGTTGTGAAGTTTTCAAAAGGTTGTCAAAACCTTTCATTCTACATTGCTAAAGAAGAGACATGAGATAACACTTTATTAAGAAAAATGTGTTATGGGCTTGTAAAAGGCAAACAAGATGGATTGGGCTCGTGTATAAACGAGTCGGGCCAAGCTAAGGTAAAATGGCCTGTTTGCCTCCCTACACGCAATAATAAGGCCCAATCCAAGCCATTTTTTAGCTCACTCATTTAAGCTTTTTTGGCCTAAGCTGGAGTTGTTCAAGATAAATCCTATTTTTGTTGTCAAGGAATAGGTCCATTACAACCGTTTAACAATCCAGATTTTTGGCGATGCTCTTTGATTTTGCTCCACCATTATCTCCACCTTTCTCTCACCAAACCAACCTACATTAGCATATACATACCACCTCTATTGTTAGTATTGAACACACTCACACATAAAATCCATTCTCCCTCTCTCCTTCGAAGTTCTTTGTTGGGTTCTTATTCTTTTTGTTGTTTATGTTCTTGGTTTTAATTCCAAAAGGGTTAGTTTAATCTTGAGAGATACGAAATAATATCCTTAAGGACAATAATTACACGACTCCAAGCTTTACTCGTTTTTTGTTTGCCCTCTTTGTTTTATATTTTATATTTTATACAACACATTTGGGATGCTCTCAAGTGTGGAGAAACTTCATCCTTGATGTTTAGTGTCGTGTCTCCTTTGATGAACCTTATTTTATATTAGGTTGCCTTAGTTTGGTTTCACTATTCTTTCTTGATGTATCAAAATGTTTATTTTTAGTATGAGTAAAATTCGTTAACCTTCATGGCCATTATGAGATAATCAAATGAACGGATCCCTCATTCCTTCCTTCTTAAGTACTACTATACAATATCTAATGAACTAAATAAGTTATAAGTACCTTTTTCATCCCCTTCGATCCACTTTAGATCTTCCTCCTTTTATCTTTTTTTTTTCAAAAAAAAAAAAAAAACAAATACTTATACAACTAATTCACGAGCTATTTTGAATCATTAGCCTATTTATGAAGAAAATTTAATGAAGCAACAATTGATAGAAAAGAGAAGCAACCATTAATACTGTACGTACGCAGGTCTGCTTCTAGAATTACGTAAGTAATCATTTAAGCTTAATTAGAATAATTAGTTGTTTACATGTCAAAAGCAAAGCCAAATTTAGAAACTTTATCATGTCATATCATAAACACCAAAGATTGATAGTATTTGTCACAAGACAAATAATTATTGAAAAATGATTATCCCATTTGCTTAATTAGAATAATTAGTGGTTTACATTAGATATTTAAATACTCTTAAGGAAGCTAGCAATTAGAAGTTGGTCTTAATTTTGATGAATACCGTCTATAGATCTTTTCCTAAACAAATAGTCACTAACTAGCATTATTTATTTGGATTTATCCAACTAAAATATTCTAGAGGCAACTCTTAGGATATGATGTTTTCTTTCTTTCACATCCCGACAAGTTATTTTTCTCGTGTGACCCAAGATCCTCATGGCCCATTATTAATTGCATGCTCATTTCAGTAATAATAATTTAAATGTTCTAAAAGAAAGCTAGCCCTCAAGTCAAGATAAATAGGCTTTTGATTTATTTATTCAAGTAGAAAAAAAAAATTGCTGGCATTGGATTAAATAATACCCCCTAATCTTTGCCATCCAATCATGGAAATCCACATATAGTGGTGGTACTGCGACATATGGTATCATAATTTTTTTTCTGTCGAAAAATAAATATAGCAAAATTGGATAAAAGACAGACAAAGAAAAAAAAAAAAGGGTAGGGCAAGAAATGTAGTGATTGGGTGTCTGGCTGGCTACGTATTTTCGAAGACTATTGTCCTAATTGTGACTGTCGGTTGTGGATATGTCCATCAGGGGCCCCAATCATTGAAGCTCCATTTATATTCTGGCTTCAATTAATTAATTGTGTATATGACAATTTCAATAATGCTTTAATTTTAATTAAGCACCATCGCATCTCCGCCGATTATACAGTGTTTAGCAGCATAATTTAGAGGTCCTAGCACGAGAATTAGTTGTCAAACTTATTCCATCACGTGTCTCAGTGTTCTACGATTGTTCATTTTTTGATACGCAAAAAATTGATGATAAAAAAATACAAACTTCATATATATATATATATATATTAAATAAATGCTAGTGTATTCAGATTGTCTCTGGTAAGCCCTTTTTTTTCCCCCTCATGATAGATAAAAATGTTGAAAACTAATGTTTAGAAAATGAAGAAAAACTTGGAAAAGCCAGAAGAAAAGAGAAAACACTTGAATATTTTAGAAAATATAAAAAAAAATTAAAAAAAAATTGAACCTACGCAAAAGAAAATCGACAGGCATAGGAAGCAGAATAAAAACTCAAAAAATTTGTGCCACATATCGAATCTGTATTCATCTTCGGTCTGTCCTGGACAAGAACCTTCTACTTTTTAATTTTTAACTTTCGTTGGAATTGACAAGCTCTTTCGTCTTTTGAGATTTTTCATTTTTTTTTAGTAGTTTTTTTTTTATTATTATTCTTTTATCTTTTAAAAGGTTTTTCAAGTTTTTTTTCTTCCTGGCTTCTCAAAATCAATTTTTTATTTTTTATTTTTAGATTTTTTTTAAATAATTTTTTTATGTGCATTTTGAAGAGTATTAGCATCACAAAAGTGGCAAATAATCTTGTCATTCAATATGTAAATAGATGAGAACTCAATTGATTAATTCCATTTACAAATACATATAAAAGACTCTTTTATTAAATCACAAAGTGGTAGTCCGCTATTTAATAAGTATTGATTTATAAATTAAATTTAAAGTTTGAATTTTGTGTTCATTGTTGAGATTTTATTTTTAAAATACTTAAAGCTGTATTCAAAATTTTCTTAATGAGAAAAAAAAAGGACTTTTTCTATTATATAAATACATTCATCTGCTAAATTTAGAATATCATTCTTTTACTAAAATATCACTTGAAATGAGCATTATCTATATCAAGAATAATAAAGCTGATGGACATGGATTTAATCTCATTGCATACATAAAATATGGGTAAACTTGAAATGAGCACTAACTATTAAAGTTAAATTAGAGAAGAAATAACTCCTAGCAGGAAATTTAATCTCATTATATACATAAAATATGGGCAAACTTGAAATGAGCACTAACTATTAAAGTTAAATTAGAAAAGAAATACCTCCTAGCAGGAAAATGGAAAAAATTGGAAAACCTTAAATTTAGTTTCTAATAAATTATACCAATATCAATTGACTCCCAAATCCTTTTATATTAATTAATTATTTGCTTTAAATATAATTGAAGATAGACAATATTATATCTTTATCCTCTCATTATTCTTTTTTTTTTTCTCTAGTTCACTAACTTTCCTAAGTCTTTTTTTATATATATACGAGCTTGTAACGTAAAAAGAAATTTGCTACAATTTATTACTAAAAGTGTCCTTTATAACAAATCAAAACTTATTTCGACGTATTGTACAAGTGTAAATCTCGTACGAAGTGGATGAAATTTTTAAATAAGCTGCTATTAGGAGTAGATAAAATATAGATGGAGGGTCAGATAGTCTAATGTCAATAAATTTGAAGCAAAACCCATAACATCGATGATGAAGTCGAACGTTTTAAGGGTCGATTGAGGTTTTCTCGAGAAAAAAAATATATATATTTATAGTGATGGAAAGTAAATACTAGTAAAAAGTCATTCACCTGCTCCTACAATCTTTATGTGGGTTCTATAATAATTTGCGATAGAAAGAACTAATAGCTGTCTTAGATTGGATTACCTTCCGAATATAAATGGGTGATGTGCGTGGGTTTTCCTCCGTAATTCAGACTCCCCCACGTTAAAGAATAGAGGGTTTTTTTTTCCTTAAAGAATAGAAATTAATTTGTATATAAACGACTTTTGACTTTCAATTATAATTCAAGTAAATAATTTAAATGAGTTTAAATTAGAAGTATGTTTGATAAACAAATAAGTTAAAGCAATTTTTTTGAAGAAAGATAGTATACATTAGAATTCACGAGTGAGAAGTTAAACAATTTTAACTTTTGATTAAAAAAACGTTTTAATTTAATTTCACAATAAATTTTTTATTC